TCTGACCAAGGGCATGTACCTAGGTTGCAGGCTCCTCCCTGGCCCGGGCACAGGTCAGGGCTCATGCAGGAGGCAACCAATCAAAGTGTTCCTCTCATTTTGATGTTTCTCTCGGTCTTTCCCTTTCTCTTTCACATTCTCTAAAAATCAATGGGAACATCCTCAGGTGAGGAGAAAAAAATAATAAAGTATTATTATATGAAAGACACATCTTGAAAATGCCTAAAGAAAGTTGTCATTTTTTCATGATGATGGGACTGGAGTCCATGTTGATGAAAAAACCTTGGTGGCTGCAGTGACTGGCAGTGGCTGCAGCAGCGCGGTGATGGGACTGGTGCCTTCCCCTGATCAGCCCGGTCACCTCCCACAAAGGGAGGCCAGACTGCGGATTAGGCCCTATCCCCAAGGGGAACAGGGAACGGGCCTAAGCCGTCACTGGGACATCCCCTGAGGGCTCCCAGTATGTGAGGGGGGGCAGGCTGGGCTGAGGGACACCCCCCCCCCTGCACGAATTTCGTGCACCAGGCCCCTAGTTATAATAGAATGAAAATACACAAATGAAAGTTTTAAAAATTTTTCATTGAAAAGTTTAAAAAATTATATAAGTAATACATTATCCTTGTACAAATGCTACTACAAAAAAGCAAAAGTTCCTCCATCCCACCTGATGTCTTCTAAGACTCTCATATGCACAGACAGATCTACCCTCTCTGTGGGTCTGTAAGAAATACACATGCAGGACAATACTGTTCTGTACCGTGCTTTTTTTCACTGAACAGTACACCACGAGCCCCTCTGGTTCAGGCACAGAGCTCCGAGTCGCTGGAGGGCTGGATGTCACTCACATTCAGTGTCCTGGGCACACTGTGGCTTCCTTTACCAGCCCTTTCATGATGGCACACTGGTTGACTTCTTGCTTTGCTATTTTAGGCAATGCTGAAATTAATGTCCTTTCATATATAATATAACTATCTTTTATATGTAAATGCAAATTATACATAATGAACATATTTCCTTGTACTTATCTGTAGGCTTGATTCGTAGGTGAAAGATTATGCCCAGCCCTGTCCCCTTTCTCTAGTTGACAGATTTCTGACAGTTTCACTTGTTAACCAAAAAATGACTTGTTTCAAAATATGGTGAATACATTCAGCCTATCTACACACACACACACACACACACACACACACACACACACACACATATATACTACTATATCCATATGTATATTCAATGTAATACATATTATTCAGTATAACGTGGAGCAGACACTGTGTGAGGACTTGGTGAACCTCAGGACTGAAAGGAGTTCTTGGCCCGCTCGCCTGGAAAGTGCGGTGGTCCCCTGCAGACCTCTCACCTTCATTGTTTCCAAAATGTCTTCTAAAATGGAAATTAGAACAAAAGGTAAAATTCAACTGAATCATTTGGTGAAGGGTGTATGGCTGCTAAACGGTTTAATAAATAATAGACTATTTACAAATTATATTCATCTGAGAAAACAGTGCACCCCAAGCAGGATTCTACTACAGTGAACCTGGACTTGACACAGGTGTTACTGAGAATTCTAACCAGACTGAATGGCCTGCGTTGCAGTGGAGCCTGCTTGTTACTACAGCAATAATTAGATTTTTAGTTATGTAGCTCCATTCTCTGCCCAGATCCTTCCCTTTGGATAAAAAAAATGTCAATGAAGGTTTGGGCCAAGTGTACAATAACGTGGAACAATGGTAGTAAATAAAATATCTTATTTGTTTAGGCTCATTGAAAAAAGCAAAACCTTCCCTTTTACAAACAACACTGAAGGCTGAACTAAGAAAATGGAGTTATGAAAAACAAAAACCTAGTAATCATAATGTGATTTGAAGGGCTGAGGATATAAGGTATAACAAAAAAATCAAACTGAGGTGTACAGAAAAAGAAAAATCATGGTCAATTTAGTTACAAAGTAATCTGAAAGCTAAGGCATAAACGCCCATACCATGAGATAGCGTTCATGATAAAACTTCTGATGAGCTAAACGTACATAGCAGAATTTTCAAGGGCATGAAAGACTAAAGGAGGAGAGAGAATTCACAATATGGAGGGTGAAGTATCAGAAGAAGAAACTGAAGATTTTGTATTTGAATGTGTATTTGAATATTAGTTTAGGAATTAGGGGAAAACTGCCACCCCCACCGCAAGACAATACTTTTTAAAACCCCCAAATCAACCTCTTACAAACCCCTCTTGTGTTGTCTGTATCATCTGTCAGCTGGTTATACTAACATTCCAGGTTACTTTATCGAGTGCAGTCTTTGACAGTGGTCTGTGTTACCTGGATCGTTCTCCTTAATGGTGACTAAATAGAACAGCCCTCTTGGCGAAAGGAGATCTGGAACCAGTGGAAAGAACCTGTCCATGACTTCGCGACCATTTCTGCCACCCGCCCAAGCTGCTTCTATTCCATGACTGCCGACCTGTGACCAATGGAAAGATTGTTTTGACTCAAGTTACATTTAGAATCACAAACTTAATCTTTTTAAAATATATATATATATATATTTATTTCAGAGATGAGGGGAGGAGAGGGAGAGACTGATCCACACCAGCTAGGCTCAAACTTAATCTTTCTGACAAGTAACAGTCATCAAACAAGTATGTATTTTGTATTTTAGTGCCACACAAAAGGCGTAAAATTTAATCTGAGCCCCACCATTTCTTAGCCTTTGTGACCTTGTATAAATGTGTAGTCTTTGTGAATTCCTTTCCTCCCTTATCTGTAAAATTAGGAAAACAATAGTTTCCAATTATAAAGTTAGAAAATAATGATAAATTAATTTTCCCACTGTTGGGGAAAAAATGAGGGAATAGTCTAGTCATCTATTTTATGTATACTTATGTATATTTTCCTTTTCTTATGCAATACCTTATGAAATCTCTTCATGTGATCTAGTTAGTTCTAACTTGCTTTTAAGGACTGGAAAACATTGCATGATGGAAAATAATCACATATAGCTATTGATGAACATTCAACGTGTCCACTTGCTTAATTTCTTTTGTATTTAAGTTATTCCCATATCTACCTCAATATACAACTTTCCACAAAGTTAATCATGAGGAAATCCATGCATTCCTCTGTTCTGTCCGACTTTCCTCCTAGAGACTCCGTTTTATTCCTATGATTCCGTCCTTTCCAGGCTCATGTTTCCTCCCTTATTTCGGTGGACCCCATTTTCTGGATGTTGCACCAAGTACCGTGGTGTGTGGACAAGTGCCTGGGAAGGCAGCTTTGGCCAGGCCCTTCTCGTCATTCTGTTCCTGGGTGGACAGGTGCCCTCTGGCTGGACCCTGTTGATCTGCCTCCCTAGGAATGCTCAGCCAGGTGTAGTTGCTTGCACTGGAGGTGCCCTTGGGAAGACCAGCCGGCACCAACCACATTCTTATACCCAGAGGAGGGAGGTGTCCATCAGGAGGGAGGAGTCAAGCCCTGCCTGCTGCCTGGGCCCACCTCTGAGCTGTACCAGACCTTGATCCTGTGCAGATCAGGGGCACACACCAACAGCACCCATGTTGTGTGTCTAGATACACTAGTAAGTACAGCCACAACTTTCTGCATGCACTTCTGTTACCTGTATGTTATGTCTCCCGGATATAACCTCTAAGTTTCTTCATAATTTCCTTCTTTTCCTGCCCCCACTGCCTCATAATACCCTTGAGAGGAGGAAACCGAACACTTTCAAAAAGAATTCCTATTAGAATTTAAGGGGGATTAAAGGGCATGCACATACACACACAAACACACATGAATTTAAATACCATGGCCTGATTTGAATGGAAGTTTAAAGGATGGAGATGGGTCAGTTTAATCAGAGCAGTTTGTGTTAATCCACAGCTGACATCAAATGATGAAATTTGCATTTAGAAAGGAAGCAGCAGACAGTTAACGATTAAATTCTGTAAGTCTTACCTCTTCAGGCGGAGTCACTACATATGGGGGATTAAACACCAGAAGATCAACCTTCTCCTTCAGTCTTGGTAGCAAGCCTTTGACCTAAATGTTCAACAACTTAAATCAACCATCTTTAAAAATATCTCATATTTTTAGAAAGAAAAATGTGTTAAGCCACACTAATTAACAGAAATGGAGATGAATATTCTTACATTTTCACTCAGATAAAGATTATATGAATTTCCCTAAAAATAAGGAAATAAGACTATTTATCAGAATGAAGATGATGTTCAGGAGTCTCAGCTCCTCAGCCCACGTGTGGACATGTGGCTGCACGTTCAGGAGAGAAGGAAGGAAGGGGGAAGGTCTAATCGGCACATCTGTCCTGCACAGACTGCACAGCTTTCAAGCTGCAGCCTATGAGCTAAGCATTTACTGTCCACAACCAGGAGAACTGTTTGCGAGAGGATGTCAGACTGAGAGAAAGACACATGACCCAGCTGATGCAAGCCATATTCATTCTGGGGCTTTTGCTGGAAGGTAGGGTTTCTTTCCATGGGGGGTTGCTGAAAAATAAGATACAGACATGCAAGTATCTTGCTACCATCAAGGAAGACTTCCTAGGAACAGAGCCACGAGAGAGAAGGTCAGACCCAAGAAAAGGACGCCTGTAATGGTACTTGAGTTCCTAGAGTCAGCTGTGCCTGAAGCCACCCACTCTAGTGAAGCCAGTTTGAACTGGATGCTGTCACCGTGACACACAGAGCCTGACATATACAAGCCAATAGACATCCCCCATGAATTGTGACAAAAAGTACTGTATCAGTCAAGAATTTATCAACTGTGATATACTGCTTACTGGGTTAAAAATTAATCACTCAAGTATTTTTGACTTAAATCCTGTGGACCTTAACTTATCTGAAAAGGAAATCTATTATTGGGCAAGGAGTAACATCTCACCAAATCGGTAATGACGGGATGCACATGGACTCTGTTACAGCGTGCTGTCTCCAGGGTACAAGCTGCTGCTTCGGGGTTGATGTCAGTGCACCTACAAACAGAAAAGAAAGACTATATTCCATGCCTAGGAGACAGATCAGTTTCTGAAAAATTCAAGGAATATTCCATTTCTTTTATGTGGAGCAGATTTTTTAAAAATTGAATACTTTAATAATGGTAGAAAAAGAATAAAGATTTATTACATTGATTTAAAAAGAAAGGCTATTATATTGATACTAGAGGCCCAGTGCACAAAATTTGTGCACTCAGTGGGGAGGGGGGGCGGAGGGTGGTCCCTCAGCCCAGCCTGCGCCCTCTCACAGTGCAGTCTGGGAGCCCTCGGGAGATGTCCGACAGTCGGACATCCTTAGCACTACTGTGGAAGTGGGAGAGGCTCCTGCCACCGCCGCTGCACTCGCCAGCTGTGACCCTGGTTTCTGGCACACTGACCACCATGGGGCAGCTCTTGCATTGACCGTCTGACCCCTGGTGGTCAGTGGGCATCATAGCAACTAGTCATTCCGCTGTTTGGTCGATTTGCATATTAGCCTTTTATTATATAGGATAATGTGCAAAAGTAGAATACACATAACCACACACACATCTGACGGAATTTATTAAATTATGAATCCAATGAAGGAATACTATACAGCCATCAGAAAGGGAATTTAAAGAATTTTTGGAAGGAAAATGCTCATGATACCATATTAATTGAAAAACATAGGAAACGGGAAAAAAAACTGAAGCAACCATGTGGTACATTTATAGGTAATTTTTATCTTTATAATTTCTATGTTCTCAAATTTTCTCAAAAGAGATTCTGGTAACTTTCAATTAATTTATGATAAATTATTTACCTAAAAAAATTCAGATTCAAATTTAGAGATGACCTAAAATTCTTATGCAGCTTCTATAATTATCCATTCTGATGGAATAAAACACTCCGTTATAATTTTTAGGGAAGTTCATGTGCAATCTGAGTCCTTACTAAAACAGACACCATCAGATACATATTATCTAATTACAAAAATGACTTCATTCAAGCAACACTTGATAGTATTTACAGTGAATCTCTTAGTGGGAGACGTGGATGCCGCTGACATCCTGACACTTACAGGTACAGAGCCTGGGGGCCTATCATGGAGGCTAGGAATGTGGATACCACTCCAGACCCCGATCCCACTTCCAGGCATAGCTCCACTCTAAACAAAAGAAAGTCGCATTATTACAGCTGCAGTGAAACACACATCCCAGAAAATGACTCTCCTGCTACTTTTAATCCATTTCTCCCCTATTATCACTCACCTGAAGTACAGAGTGTCACAAAAATATACAAATATAAAAGAAATTTATAAATAATTTCTGACAACTGTTTTGGCCTCATTTAATATTCATAGCTCAAAATTGTTAAAATTTTGGGCATGTAGTTTATTCTAAGTCCATAAAATAGTAATATAATAGATGGCTTTCAATTCATTTCTATAGCACACTACATAAAAAGTATGAAATAATGTTGGTTTAGGGTTAGACATTTTAATATGAAAGACATCAGTTCTTTCCAGGAGAAGTTCCTAGAGTGGCATGTCCTAAAATGATAGATTATTGCAATATTTATTTATGAAAGACATTTATCTATCATTTACAAGTATGTAACACTCATACATCCATCAGCATACCCTAGGGGAGGAAAGCTACCCTATACTACAGATAGCAGATTTAGAGCAGCAAAGAAATTCCATATTTGTACTATATACTAAATTGGGAAAACACTGAAGCATTGGCTCTTGGAGTATTAGTAATAATCTTAAGACTGCCACTGAACATCTCCATTCTACTGTATTTTGTCCTTCAATTAAATGTATTTCCTTGCCTATAACTACATACATAGATGGTGTCAAAAGCACAAAGTATCCCCACTACAGAAACAGGTTTGGTGGGGTTTAGGGGCTCACTAACACCCAGCTCCCCAGTTACCCAACCTCAAAGCCTGGGGTTCCTAACTAGGCACCAGTCCCATATCCGACAAACCCTTATTCTATGGGAAGAGCGACTGAATCTTACCAGGCAGCTGATGTTGGAAAAAATAAACTGTTACGGTCTCATAAATACCTAAAATTCCAAGACCAGAAATCTCCAAAACTTTAAAACAGAATCAGATCTGCTGACAGCACAGTGTGGAGCCCAATCTGTGCTTGTAAATCGTTGATATGTCATGACCTACAACACAGCGCCATTTTAGTCTAGATTTCAGGAAACCCCAAAGTTCCATCCTTTACAATGAAAAGCTAGTTTATAATAATAGTTGTGCCATTTTATAAGTGGAAAAATCCAACCAGGTTTCATCCTGAGAAAAGCCACTTCAAGGCTGGATTTTTAAATACATCTGAACACCCAGATTCCTTTCATTTAAAACACTGACAATGTCGGTATTCATTCATTCTGGTCATTAAATGTCAAGTTTCTAGCATTTCAACAGGTCGGTGTGATGAGGCGTAAGGTGCTAGGGACGTGGAGGCTGCAGGTCACGAAGTTGTTACAATTCAATGAAAAAGTCAGGCGGCCGTCACCCCGCATGCGAATCGGGCTTTAAAGGGCGCAGAGGTCAGAACCCGGCCGGGCGCTGGCGGGGTCAGGGGTCAGGGTTCATCCCCGTCCAGGGCCCGAACGGGGGCGGGTTGGAGTCCCCCTTGGGGCGCCCGTGGGAGGCGACCGACTGAGCGCTCTCTCTCTCTCTCCTCTTCCCCCACCTTCCCCCCTCCC